ACAATCAAATGATCAATTATAGAGTGTGCTCGATGGAATGAGAATTTGACTTTGATTGTTGGGTGAAATGAATGAGAAATTAGCAGAAGAGAACACTTTTGGTGATAAAAGCTATGAGAGCGATTAGAACAGCAACGAAAAGAATGAAAATCCTGTTAAAACGACTGAAAACTTTGTTAGGCAAACGCAAAATGCACCTTCTCATTAATATGCGGTTTTCTATAGATGCCAGCCTCATAGGCATCCCAAAATTGAGTGCCTTCATCCTGTTCCATGGCACTTACACCACGTCGCGAACATGTTTCCACTGACTGAAACAAATCACTCATAACTAAGTTAATGCCATCATTCATATTACATCGACAAGTGCTCTTATCATAATTATTGCCATCAGCAAACATCGATGTGTGCTAAGTACGAACCTTATCTTTGGTGGCTTGCTGCGGAGAGCGTTGCGTTTTGAACGTATCGTAATAAGCATCGTAATGGTCAGTCGGATAACTGGACGGTTGGTAGCTGGCTTGTGGTGGCATACTCATCGTATTACCAGGCATATAGATGGGTTCTTCGAATGCGGCCGGTCTCCGCGGTAGAGTGCCATAGACTGACTCCGGTCCGGTGATTATCGGACCGTCGGTCGGTGTTCGCGGTCGTCCCATAGCGGGTGGGAAAGCATGCCCGAATGGTGGATGTCCGAAACGTGGATGCATCATGCCGACACCCGGTGGTGGTAACATCCCGGGCGGAAATCTCGGTGGAGGAGGCATACCTTCAATAGGTTCGGATTGTTCACATTTAATGCTGTAGCACCAATCGTATTTGTTAAAAAACAGCTGATACAGTCAAAACGATTAAGAATTAGAGTGGTCAATGACCTCAAATACGATTATTTTATCAGAATACAAAGTAATACCGAAGTGAAGCTGATATACTCAGAATGATATGATGCAGCAACAATGATCATATGGAAAACTACATTAATCATGACTTTAAATGTGAAGAAATAGCGATAACGCGACAATTATACTTTAAAAACAACAACATTGAGCATAATAATTATACCTAAAGGCATCATATGCATAGGCGGTGGCATCGGAGGGGGTGGATGAGGCCCAGCAAAGAACGGCGGTCGCATCATTGGATGTGGGGGCAACATATGAGGCGGTGGAGGCGGGAATGGGCCACCTCTGAAGGGCGGTGGAAAACCACCGTACATACCTGAAAGTCACTCAATGTCCTCCCCATTTGAAGTTGGTGAAAAATATGGAAAATTACTGAAACTCTGAATATTCACACATTTTTTCGTCGAAAAAAATTTATTCTTGTGAATAATCAATCGGTAAATTGTTTGCAAAAAGTTCGAGTGAGAATGGATCTGATGTGATTCTGATAATGAATCCGTCAGGATCACTGCAACAATTACTTTTTGAACGAATATCAGCGATTTTCTAGGATATGAGAAATGCGCCTTTTCATTACATGAGAATGTTTCAATTAGTTTTGTTTTTCTTGGAACTAATTTGAAAG